GGAAAAGGCATCATTACAGCTGTTCCTTATTTTTCATCCACACATATGGCACTCATTGAAACACTCATGTATAGACAATAACAGGCACGTGCATGCACGCAGGTCGTCCTTCTCGCTCCGCCCTGCAGGCCGGGGTGAGTCGTCCTCTCTGTTATCTTACACGACTTTACAACCGTCGAGTTGCTCTCGATACATCTCGATACATCTCCATCATGGCACAAATGTAAAACTCTAAATCTATAGATCTTTCTCTTAAAAGTCTTTGCTGTGTTAAAAAGTGTTTTTCGAAAGGCTGGTTTCACAACACTGGACTGGGCGACCACCAACGTGAAGCTTCAGCTGAAAGGGCGACGCTTTCTTCAATCTCGGACTGCTTAGAAATTGATTTTTGATGCTACTCAGGCGGACTCTGAGATCAGATATCTGATGGAGTGTGAACGGAGTGTAAGCAGCAGAATCGTGTGCACTACCTCGAGGTGCATCGTTGAGAAATCAGTGAAGCTAGTTTGAGGAGAAAAGTCGACATTTAAAAAAGGAAATATAAAAAAGTGCTGCTGTGGCCCTGAAACATCAACATGTGGCTCAGGTTTCAAAGAAGGTGTCAGCCCAACATCTGGTTAATGTGATTTATCAGCTCTGATTCTGTACATAATACTATATAATTCATAAATATATTTTTATTGCACACACTGCCATAAACAAACATAAGTTAATTTAACTTTATTCATTATAATTTCACTGTTTAACAGAAATAAACTGATATTTAATTAAGTATCAATTTACCTTTTTTTAAACAGGATTAAAACTCTTGAGTTATGTTGTCAGCTGGACAAACAGCTGCTGGACGACACGTGGAGCGCTGTGCTCCTGGTTTGTCAAAATGATTAAAATGAAACATTCGTGACGCCGTGGATGCAAACCTTTGCCCAGAATAACGCCTTTTGCTCATTTATACAAGCTTAAATCATCGATGACGTAATAAACATACGGTATCTGCAGGGGTCCACCCAGGGTAGTGAAGCCAGCCTTTGAACTCATTTAAACAGTATGTGTTGGGTATCATGGTGAAGTTCGTCTGCAGGAAGCCGGCAGCACGTCGACTGTGTGAAACAGCACAGCCGCAGTCCTCGCCACACCTCGGGTTAATGTGCAGCGTCCAGTCAGTCCAGTGTGGTGCAACCGTAAGGCAGCTTTGTCTCGCTGTGCCGTGTAACGCACAGCTGGATGAGGCCACTAAGGAGTGTGTAAATGACAATCAAAGAAATGCGTGCTGAGGCGGGAACTGCGTGGAAACGTTAACGGGAGGTGAAGTGGGCTGGACGCTGGTGGAGCCAACGGTGCGTTTAGCAAGTCCACACCTGAGGGAGACGGGAAGACACAGTAAGACAGGAGACGCACACAGGGACGCATCGGCTTTCAGAACGACTCGAAAAAAGAAATATTTCTAATAATCTTGTTTTGAAAATGCACGAGATGCTGCTATAAGCAGAAAAAAGGTGGGTAAAAAGGTGAACCGCTGATGCAGTGGGTGGGTTGAGCTCAGATTTAAGGGTGGGGGCGATCTGTCGTACCTTGACGGTGCTGTCGACAGCTCCGGAGAAGAGGCGCCCTCTGGAAACGGCGAGCGCCGTTACACTACCCTGGTGTCTCAGCAGAGTCTGGGTGCAGATCATGTTGTCCATGCTCCACACCTGCAACACACAAACGCAGCACTGCTGTCATGTTTGGCCCCGCACAGCGCGACTCGTAGGATGAGATGATGGGATGGTGTCGTCACGAATTCCCAGGACGGCGCTGCGTGAGGTGAAACCTGACAGCGTCAGCAGAACGTCACAGAGATGCTCTGTTGGATTTAGGTCAGGTGAGTGTGGGGGCCGGTCGGTGGTGTCAAGAACACCCGCC